GGCCACCCACCGTGGTGCTGGGGGAGCCTGGAGGGTGCTCCCCAGGGAGGAACCCCACTGCAGGCTCACCTCCACCCCAAAAAGGTAGGAGAGGGTTGGGGGAACGTGGGCAGGGCACCCTTGGGAGCTGCAAGGTCCCATCCTGCTGCCAATCTGAGAGGTCCTCAGGTTGGAGCTGTTGGTCTCTGGAGGGGGCAGGACACATCTTGCTGGCTTGCCTTCAGCTTTTTGGGCACCTCATCCCAGCTCCCTGCCCTATTTCTGCCCAGGGGGGAGGCTGGAGAAGAGGCAGCCATCACCATGAGGGTGAGAGGAAGGAGCCACCAAGGTGATGGAGCTCTGAGCTTCCTTCTTCCCACGCAGGGATCATGAATTGAAGCTGTTGCAGGAGGAGCTGGGCAGGATGGAGATGAGTTGCCTGCAAGGTGAGAGCTGGTCGGGCAGGGGGTGTGGAAGGAGATGACCACAAGGTGTGGGAGGAGTCACACCCTGTCCCTACAGAGCCCCCGTGCCTGGAGCAGCCCCTGGAGATGGCAGAGGACCTCCCCACCTTAGCAGGGTGGGCATCACCCCTCCCTGGTGGCTGGAGGACAAAGCTGAGCTCCTGGGGGGTAAGTCTGAGCTTGGGGAGAGGTGCTGGGTGGGATGTCCCCAGGTTGGGGCAGCCCCTGGGGCCAGCTGGGGTCCTCCTGGGAGGGCCAGGTCCTCTCAGCCTGGGGTGTCTTCATCCTGACTGCACCCCTGGCTGCTGGACACCCTGCTGGGAGAGGGGTTGGGGCTGGGGACATGACACCCAAGGAGAACTTCTGGGTGTCCTCCAAGGATGGATGGCCAAGGCATCTATTGTGTATCACTCACGTGTCCTCAGGAGACAAGGGACCTCTCCTGCACGACAGGAGGGTCAGTGGGGATGGAGGAGGCCCCATCTAAACCTCTTCTTCCCCAACCAGGGCATGCTGGAGCCAACGATGGGTGCTGGGAAGCACTGGGAGACCCAACCCTGCGACCCGAGCAGGTCTCTGGCCAATGCCATGTGAGTTCCAACCCCAGCAGGGGCTGGTGGCACCTCAAGGTGCAGCCAATGACCTGGCAAGGGAGGGACAGTCCCACTCAGGGCTTCCTGGGGTGCTGACTGGTCTCTTCTCTGTAGGTCCTTGTTGTCCTCTTGGTCACCATGCCAGGGGCTCACCAGGGCTGGGCAGCGATGCCGGAGGAAAGCCACCCCTGGGCAGGACTTCTGCCACCTCCATGCCACCAGCTGAGCCTCCTGCAGCAGCTTGGCCATGGTCACATCTCCCCATCTTTCACCTTCTGCCTCTTCCCAGAGGGGTTTTTAGAGCAGTTTTTGGCTCTTCTAGACCCTGCTGAGAACCCGTGGTGGCGCCCAGGACCCCAAGGGTGCCACAAGGTGGGTTTGGGGCCGTGCTGCAGGACAGATGCTCCTCCTTCCATCACTTTTATTTGCATATATTTTAATAAATTCTACATTTACAACTGGAGCCATCCCCATTCTGATCCCCCCCCATCCTGATGTGTGTGGGGGGAGTTTTGGGACCACCCCCACACTCTAGGACAGGGCCAAGATGGGGGGTGGTGGCTCCAGTTGGTTGCTACCACCTACTCTGGGGTCCCTTTGGGGTGACCTGACCTTCCACCCCACCCTACCCTGGGTGTCCTCCCTGGGAATGTCACTTTGGAAATGTCACTGTCACCCCCTCCCCCCTGTCACCTGCAGCCCCGTCCCCTGCCCCAGCAGAGGACAACCCTGAGATCTGAGGAGGATGATGCTGGTCCTGGTGCCACCTCCACCCCTCACTTCCTGGCGCTGGCGTAGTTGGCGCTGAACCAGTCGCAGGTCTCCTGGACAGCTGGGGAGGGAGAGGCTGGGATGGGTTTGGGGTGGGGGATGCACTTTGTTCATCACATCATCGAGGGGTTGGGGTGGGAAGGGACCTTTTCGAGGTCATCTAGTCCAACCTAGGGAGCAGGAGCTTCTCCCTCAGCACACACAACCCCAACCAGCTCCACCCTGAGCAGCCACCAAGGGAAACAGAACAAAGGTGACACTTGGGGCTTTCAGTTTAACCCCAAAACCTGAATCATTCAGACATGGGAGGTACAGAAGAAGAAATATTTGACCTGATGGTTCCTGCCACGGGCGACCAGAAAGCCTAAAAATCTCAGACCATGATAAAAAATTGAAATAAATGGATTAAAATAAATGTGAACTACTCCAAAAATGAATTCAAGTGGTAGGTCCCCTTGTCCCAAGCTCTGCTGCTTAGCACAGGCCTTGAGGGGGCACAGGAGCAAAGGCTCACACAGAGCAAAGCTCATTAACCAGCAGTGGTTGCTCCAAAAAGAATCCCAGAGTGGGTTTGGGTGGGAAGGGACCTTCAGAGGTCACCTCATCCAAGCCCTGCAGGGACAGGGACATCCCCAACTAGAGCAGGGTGCTCAGAGCTTTGTCCAACCTCCCCTGGGATGGTGCCAGGGATGGGGCAGCGACCACCTCTCGGGGCAGCCTGGGCCAGGGGCTCACCACCCTCAATACAACAAATTTTTCCTTGTAACTAGTCTAAATCTCCCTCTTTTAGTTAAAAATCCCCACTCGTTGTCCTGCTCCAACAGGTCCTACTCAAATATCTGCCCCCACCTTTCCTCTAGGCCCCTTTAAGTCCTGGAAGGCCACCAGAAGATCTCCCTGGAGCCTTCTCTTCTCCAGGCTGCCCCACTCCAGAGCTGCTCCAGCCCCCATGGATCATCCCTGGGGCCTCCTCTGGACCTGCTCCAGCAGCTCCATGGTGGACAGACCCCCAGGGCTGCTGGCAGGAGGTGGGAGCTCCACGTTTTCCACAGTGCCCCTGGTCTCACCTTGCCTGAAGGGTGTGAACTGGAAGGTGGGCAGGTGGCGCTGGAGCTTGGCGTTGCTGGCTGTCTTCTTGAACTGCCCATCAGCCTTGGTGGTGTCAAACTGGGGAAGGGGGGAGATCAAGGGAAACCCAAGCAGGGGGGTAGAAAACCACCTCTCCCTCCCTCTGCCCCCACCCTGTCCTGGACGAGGTGGTGGGAGGGATGTTCTGGGCCACAACATCTCCCCTAGAGCCCTACAGCTGCTGGTGGGATGTGGGGTGTCCCCCCCATGAGGACCAGCCTGTGGTGAAGGATACAAGCAGCTCTCCCTTGAAGTCCATGGCCTCCACGATGGCCTCTGCTGCCTCTTTGATGGAGACTTCATCTTCCTCCCCCACTGTGGAGAAGAGCAGAAGGTGACTGTTCTTGCTGCCTCCTCGGGAAGGGGCTGGAGCCCCTTGTTTTTGGGGAGGGGGATGGGGCTTACCTGACAAGATGATGGGCTCCACCTCCTCATACTCCCTAAGGACCCACAGGAAGAGCCGGGCCAGGTCCTGCAGAAGGGCAGATGGCTCTTGGCGAGGGTGGCTGCTGGCCCCAAGCCCTCCCATCACCAGGGGACCCAACCCTGAGGATGACCAAGGGTGCCCGGGACAGGTGCCCCTGCTGAGATCCAGGCCTAGACCTCTCCACCCCACACCCTGCCCTCCCAAAGCCGTGGGAGGACCACACGTACCAGGGAGTAGATGAACTGTCTCCTTGGCTTGCCCGTGCCCCAGACAGTCAGAGCAGAGCCAGTCTCTGCAGGAGGATGGACAACACACCCGTGACCATCAGAACCACCTCCAACAGAGCAGCCCGTGGAGCAGGCAGCGGGGTAGGAGGGGGGGGGAAACCCACCCAACCCTCCCCAAAAAGCTCCAAAGTTCTGCCACGCTCACGTTTGGCCAGGTAGACCTTGTGGATGAGGCCTGGCAGGACGTGGCCCTCCTCGATGTTGAAGTTGTCGTGGGGGCCGAAGACGTTGGTGGGGATGACGGCAGTGAAGCGGCGCCCGTGCTGCTCAAAGTAACCCCTGGGGGCAAGCAGGGCAGGGGCAGGGCCAGGGGGCTCGTCCCCCACCCCCAGGCAGGCCCAGGGGGCTCATTCC